TTGTGAAAGTAAAGAAACTTAAATTCAAATTATATGAAACATAAATGGAGTTACTTAAAGAATAATGAATAATTATCTCTCATTTTTATCACAAAAATTTTAAATGTTTTTTAATTTATAGTTCAAATTATTTTAGACTATAAAATAAAAAATCTTTAATGGAGAGGTGGCTCTCTAAATTTAGAAAATTCATCATATAATTTTTTGAAAAGATAGAGTATCGCCATCAAATTTTATTTCTTTTATACCTACCGTTTTCTCCTACGAATTCTTGGGTTTTTTTTTTGGTTTCACGAATTCTTGGGTTTTGCACGACAAGTTGTGTATGATCTAAGATTTGGTACGATCGAAATTTAAGGACTAATTACAATTTTATTTATCTTACCAAATATATAAAAAAATACTATAATTAGCGAATATTTGTTCCCTATTTTAAGGAACATTATAAATGTGTTGAAATATTGACGAAAAAGTATAATTGTGGGACACTAATAAAAAGATAAAAAGACGTTAATTTGATTTGTAGCCCACCAAATCTTTTCTTCCTCGCCCTGACTTGAACAAAGACGGAGGAAGAATCTTGGCCCCGAGGCAGGAATGTGGATTAGGAGTACCTTCTATCTCGCGCCTGCGGCTGCCCACTTTTAAGATAATATACGGATCAGTTTAATTAAGTTTCGTTTGTGAATATTGTGAGTTTGTAATTATAGTTGTAAGTATTTTGAAGATGTTATTTAATTAATTAATTAAAAGTTTGAGATTTTAAATTATAAATCTTAAATTTAAATTTTAAATTAAATAGAGAGAGATTTATAATTATAAAAAGATTGTATTTTCTTATATAATTCGCTATTAGATATACTAAAAAATATATATATACATAGTTGTAAGGTTTTTGGTTTTTTGTTATTTTAAAAATAATATATAAAATATTAATTAAAATTAATAAAATTTTATAAAAATTAATTAAAAATTATTAATTTGCATTTTTAAATAAAAGTATAACAAATTTACATTGTGTACAATAATCATATGAATGAAGCTTCTGCATTAATTTTGATTAGATTCAGTTCAAATCACCAACATTTTAAAACATTTTAAGTTAAAAATTCTATGTTAGGCCAAAATATACTATTTTTGTTCCCTTTTTTTTGGAGTTTTAGTTGATTTTTTGATTTTTTTATATATAAATTTTAGATAAAATTTTAACGTATTATATAAATAATAATTAAAATTTTTTTAATCAAATAAAAATACTTAACAAAAACTATGTATAAAAAAAATTTAATTAATATTTATATAAATTACAAAATTTTTATTTAAAAATTATGTTTAAAATGTTAAAAAAATTAAGTTAAAACTACTAAAAATGAATGAAAGGAATAGCATTCTTGATTAATTGTTACCTGGTTGCTTGCTTTAAATTTTTTAGTTTCTTCAATTAAAATCCATGTTGTGAATCCTATTTTGAAACTTTTATTTTATTTTGAGAAAACCAATTTATTTAGTTTAGACAAAAATACATGTGGGCAGTGAGCACCCACATGCAAGGGGCGGCGGAGTAGGGTGGAGAAGCGACCTCCTTTTTTCCAGGCAAGGCGGCCATGGAGATCTTGCTATATGAGAAAGAATGAATAAAGAGACAAAAATATTTTATATAGTTTATACTACACAAAATTGATCATTTAATAGAGTGAGACCCTCTTATGTATGGACAAACCGTCTCCATTTGATGTTCCACAAGACTGTAAAACCATATTCTCATAAACAAAAATTATACATTCTATTTTAAAATAATTATTGGTAAATTATTTTTCAAATTAAGAATTTAGGGATAATATTTTTATTTATCTATAATATTTTTAAAAGAGAGTTTTTATGATTGATTGATTAATTAAAATAATATGAATAATGATACAGTAAAATATAAAAAATATTTATCTAAAAAATAAAAAATAATAATTAGTTAAGACAAATTCAAAATTAAAAAATGACCTGAGATGAAGGGAGTAGAATATTAGCCAAAACAATTATAGCATCTTCATAACAATGTATAATATATATATATATATATCATTTTTTTTTAAATATATTTGATGATGAGTTATATAATAGAAGATAATCCTCTCATTTCTTAAATCTCTCTCCACTTAACTTAAAATTCAAATTTAAAATCTTTAACTTAAAATTTTAATATTTTAATCAATTAAGTCATTCCTTAAAAGTTATATATCTTATTAATAATGCTTCAAAAATATTTTTTATAATTCAAACTATACAAAACTAACCATTAAATAAGGGTGAACCCTCTCTATATGATGGTTTTGGTTTGGAGTCTAAACCAGATTGTAAAATTGTGAACTCAATATTTTTCCTTCTGGTTTGTAGTTGGGTGATAAAGACTAAGAGTGTGTTTGGTTACAATACTATACAAAAAATTAGCATATTATATGAAAAATTATTAAGTTTTATTATGAAATTTTGTTGAAATCTTATTAGATTGTTAATTTTATTATATTTGATAAGAAATTGACATAAAAAAATGTAAAGTTACATAAAAAGTTGTTAAATTAATAGGTTGCATATAAAAAAAAAGTTATGGGAAAATATTTTTCTTGAAAAAGGTGAATAAAAAATTTTGTAGGTTGAAAATTGTGTAAAAAAATAAATACTAAAAATATTATTTTTACCTTTTATTTATTATAATTTTAAAATATATAAGTATCAAAATACCTTGAGAGAATCCTAAAAGTAATTCAGACTTTCTTATTGCTTTTATGACATACATAGACAGCAGCTCTTGACAATTTGCATGAGAAAAATCTTGTCACTTCGGACATAATTTCTAAATCTGATATAGGGTCATGGGTAAAGGGATGCAATGGAATTGGGTTCGTTAAAGGAATGGAAGGCACAAGTTGCTAGGTAAAAGAGAACAATCTGAAAACAAAGTGCACATATTCCAACTGTCTAGCAGTATATATGTAGAGCTCTTATCACCCCATACATCAAAATCAAACTCAAAGCAACGTCTCAAAACTGGTCGAAAGCTTCAACCATTGTTTCCTAATGGATTACAGTCCACTGAGATTACCAAAACTGTGAAAGAAAGTGATTGCAGAGTGGATAATGTCTAGATCACAATGTTTGGGGTGCCGAAGTATGGAACTTGATCATTTCTTGCTTTGCTGTGTCTCTTTCAATTCAAGGTCCTATCCTTTCATTGTCGATTCTTCCAAAAACATTCGGTATGTAGGGACTTAGATTGTTTGGTACAATGGAAAAATTAGGAAAGTATCGTGTGTGGATGAAGAAAAGATGAAAAGGAGTGTTACCAATATGATCTAAGTTTAAATTTTTGGTACCAGTTGACAGTTCTCTTTGTACAAGAAGGAAGATAGTTGCAACAAAGGGGAGAAAATGAAATGAGAAAATTGACATACCTTATTAAAGTTTAAGAGATCGATCTTGAATTTGGTTCATATAATTAATCACTTTCCCACTATCATATGATTGCGTCAGATCCTACTCATTCTTGATATATATATATATATATATATATAATCAAAGAGACAATATATGGTTGGATTATTCATAAAAAGTACTTTGACTGTTTAGTGCATTGGATTAGCAAGACTTCATAGATTCGGTGCAAAAAAGTTTAGGGTTCAGGCAGGTTAGCCAATTCAGGCTCAGAGCATACTACCAATCTATAGCGTGAATTTGCAGTGGTACTTACAGATCGCTTATTTACGAGAGACTGCTAGCAGCAGGACTTGAACCTAGGCACGGTCAGCCAAAGTATTAGGTTCCGACCAACGGGTCAAACCCTGGGAGACATCAGATAGATTATCATGATCTGAAAAATTATACAATTTTTATTATTATTATTTATCGATTAGCATTTAAAGTGATGTATTTGATTCTGGTTCATCCTGTCATCTTTTCTCTTTTTCATTTTTGCCCTTTTTCTCCATTATCAACCTGTATCTCCATGAATCAATGTTTTGTAATTATCTAATTAATTACTCAGATCCAGAGGATAGTGGAGACTTTGTTCTTTTTCTGTCTCTTTCCTACAATATATGAATACATTAAGTTTGGTTTGGGGGTACTTCACTAATCTAATCTTTTTTAGTAGCTAGCTTTGTTATTTCTTAAGTACTTTTACAGTTCAATACACAAGACAGATTTATTGTGTCTTAACCTGGTACTGACACCATCAAGGTAAAGCATAATTTCAATGGAAAGTCCCAACCCATACAATTTCACTGCACTGATTATATTCAATTATGACAAGGGTGTTCTATATATACCGAGTACTTGCGCATTTTAATGAGAAATTAAACCATGAAAATCCAGTGCAATGTATGCATTAATCACCCGTATCAAAGCTTCAGAACCAGAATTTAGGACAACATTGCTAGAAGCCATTAGTGGAGCGGCCTTGTCTTTGTTCAGTGCCATTATCTCAGCAAATTCTTTTGCTGGTGAATTTAGCAATATTTTATATCATCACCCTTATCCTGTTGCAGCTTTCTGATCTAAGCACAACAAAGAAAACTCATAGATTCATTCCTTTGAATTTTAGAGCTTTTGAACTCTGGGAAACATGAAACATCATAAATTAGTTTCAAAATTAACATATATCACAAGCATGGCTCGGAAAATCAGTTACATAATATCTAACTGAAGGAGATGCAAAACAAAAACACCCTTGGTTCTGACTTGTGATGCATAGTTGCAATCCCACTTAGGCCCTCTCTCTGTACCCTTTTCTCCTCATGGTGGGATAAACTCAAATTCTAGGTAATCAAGCGTGGGATGCTGTTTTTACCAATAGAATGTATGTAAAGTCTAGTCAGCAACATTTCTGCAGGAATAGACAAAAAGTTCTCAAAGAAAGTCTTTGTCCTCTCACTTCTGCGTGTATCACTAAAATATTCTTTGCGACCAAACTTTTCATTCCTATAAATAGAGGTCAGTGAGGGACACCTTCACATTCATGTTTCATCATCTTTCATAGTCATCTAGGGAAGAAAACAAAACAACCACCAGAGAAGGCCTTGTTTTTGCTAGGGTCATTCAAATTTTTTATGCAAAATTGCTTCCCATGGAAGAGAACAAAGGTGTTTTTTCAAGGGCTTGGAGCTGCCTCAAGGCCCTGCCTTGTGACATCAAGGAAAAGGCGTTTCAGGTTGGAAATGGCATTAGAAAGCTGGGACATGATGACCCCAGAAGAGTCATTCATTCCCTCAAAGTGGGAATTGCTCTCACATTGGTGTCATTGTTATACTATGTCAGGCCTATGTATCATAGTTTTGGTGTTTCTGGTATGTGGGCAGTGCTAACTGTGGTGGTTGTGTTTGAATTTACAGTAGGTAAATTAATCTAACTCTTTAACTGTTTTACATATATGATAATAATATGAAAAGCATAATGTTTCCAAATGGTCAACTTATTCAATTTTGTTTTTAATTACATAACCAGGTGGAACCCTAAGCAAAGGTATAAACAGAGGCATTGCAACAATCCTGGCTGGTGCACTGGGGGTAGGTGCAAAACACTTTGCAAGTCTCTTCGGCCAGAAAGGAGAATCCATAGTCCTGGGAATTCTTGTCTTTTTACTAGGTAAAATTAGAAAACATGTAGCTACAAGTTCTACCTTCTGTTTGGTTACAAAGAAAGTAAATGTTCATGTAAATTACTTGGATTATTGCAGCTGCAGCAGCTACATTCACGCGATTTCTCCCACTGATTAAGGCAAGATATGATTATGGGGTTCTAATATTCATACTGACATTCAGTATGGTAGCTGTTTCTGGTTACAGAGTTGAGGAAATCTTAGCTCTAGCCTGTGAAAGAATATCAACCATTTTAATTGGAGGAGCAACCTGCATAGTTGTATCTATTTTCATCTGTCCTGTGTGGGCTGGTGAAGATCTTCACAACTCTGTTGCTTCCAATCTAGGAAAACTTGCAGATTACCTAGAAGGTACAAACATGTAACCCCATTTTTCTTAACAATCTTCACCATTTTCAGAATGGTTTCTGATGTCAAAAATACTTGCACAGGATTTGGAAGTGTGTATTTCCAATCTAGTGAAGAAGAAGGGACTAAGGAAGATAAGTCATTTCATCAAGGATATAAAAGTGTTCTGAATTCAAAGAACATGTCAGAATCTTTGGTAAGAACATTAAATAAAATTTACCTCTGAATGCATAATGATTACATAAAAATCAGATTAATTTGCTCATAAATGGTTACTAATCTATTAAACCTGCAGGCAAATTTTGCGAGATTGGAACCGTGTCATGGGCGTTTCCGGTTCTGCCATGCATGGAAGCAGTACTTGAAGATTGGAGCCCTTGCTCAACAATGTGCATATCAGATTGAAGCTATTAATGGCTATGTCCACTCTGATGTCCATGTACTGCTTCTCAACAGCCTACTTCCAAATTTAAAACAACAAATTAGAAAGGAATAAAGTTTCAATGCGATATCTGATTTATGTTGAGTATTACTGCAGGCACCACTAGAATTTCAAAGCAAAATACAAGAATCATGCACAAGGATGAGCACAGAAAGTGGGATGGTATTGAGAGCATTAGCCACAGCAATCAAAGCAATGACAGAGCCATCTTCGGCCAATCCTCACCTGGAGAACGCCAAAGCTGCCGTGGAGGACCTCCAAACCGCCCTCAAATGTGTCTTCCTGGAGGCTTCAGACCTCCTAGCAATAGTTCCAGCGGCTATGGTAGCTTCTATCCTGGTTGAGATTGTTAAATATGTGGAAAATATTTCAGTAGCAGTTTATGAACTTTCCAAACAAGCACGTTTCAAGACTGGTGAACATCCTGTGTCACCTGAGAAACCACTGCAGCCACTGATTCACCGGGCAACCGTAAACCCAGTTTTTGACAGTGAGAGCAACCATGTTGTGATCACTGTACATGAGACATCCACAGATTTCACAGAGAAGGAGAAGCCCGGCCAGTAAATAAATGTAAATATCTGTGCACTTACTCAAGAATGAAGTGTAAATATTTTGTTAATTCTCAATCAAGGGTATAATTCAATGGTATTTTTTTTTATTAAATCTAAAATATTAAGAATTCGTGTTGTATAATATACAGTAAAGCGAATTAAGTGGTAAAATATTAAGAATTTAAGTTCAACCTGAGAGTAAAAATGCGAACATGCGGGTGAAGATTGAAGCAGACAAGAATTTAAGTTCAATAAATTTGAAAGTGTACTAAACATCATTAATTTATGATGATAAGTGAGATTCATGCACAGGTCCGTACCAATATTTTGTTTAAACTAGAAACGAAACCATTCATAAAAAATGGAGGTCCCATCATATTTTTAATCTTTGTCAGTTAAAAGTTGAGTTCCTGATTCACATTTTCAGAATATCACCGAATATACTCATCAGGGCATCATCACAAAAAAATGGAATATTACTGGTAGTGAGCATGTGGTTTAATGGGGACATGGATTCTGAAAGAGGAAATTAACAATGTTCTTTCTTAGGATGATAACGAGTACTGCTATTCCATTGACTAAAGGAGTTGTTTGGTTGAGACCAACTCTAAGAAAAAAAAAAATACAATATGAAAAGATAATAACACTTAGGAAAATTATGTGTGTACAACCGGATCCAATACCCAACTATGCACACATTATATAAAAAAAAAAGCCCATCATCCGGTCTAATTTTTTTTTTATGAGGGAGTGCACACCCGGGTGTTGGATCCGGGTGTGCACCAATCATTGTTCTAACGCTTAACATAACGTTTGCATTAAAAAAAAGTTAAAAAAATTGCATTAAAAATTTTTTAACTTTTAATTGGGTGCGGTTATAATTACATATTATATTATTAAAATTACATAAATTTTAATATTTTTTTTGTAAATTATTCATTTTAATATTTAAAAATATCAGTATAAATTACTTTTAATTTATTAATTAAAGAATAAATATCAATTGTTTTTTTTATTAACAATTATCATTATTAATTATTTTTTACAATTAAACCAAATATAATGAATATTTTAAAATATAATATTAAAAAATTAATAAATAATAACATTTAATATGTGACCATAACTTTATCTTTTTTAAATAAGTTAGGAAAAAAGTTTCTTAATTATTGATAATTTTAAATGGCAAAAATTGTCAATTTTATCCCCTTACCGAACACAACCTAAGAGAAGAGACAAAACTCGAAGTCAGGATATTCTGCTGTAAAGAAAAAACAAAATTTAGATGAGAAATTGAAAGTGGGAAAACACAACGCAATAAAGCTGTAATGCTTCATTTTCATTGTCAGAAGTCGGCTGCCATACTCCCATATATAGCAGAATATCCCCACATTTAAAATGGAAAATTTTGAGGCCTAAACAATATGCCCTCACTAGATTAATAAAGCACAGTTTAGGTCAGATGACTCATCCATGGAAGTATGTATTACAGCTAAGGTCTAGGCAGGAATGTTTTCCATTTTGCAGTTGTCCAAGCATCCATAAAGAATATTGGACCAGCTTTTTTTATACTAAGTAAATAACCTCCTCAACTGCTCTAGCTGTGCAAATTTATTCAAAAAGTTGAATTGGTGTCCGTTATTTTTGGACGTTGGAAGGAGGCAGCTATGTGGTATTATAGAAATTCAAAGTTCAAATTCCCAATTTTAAATTTAAATAGATATTTTTGAGTTCATAAATATTAATTATTTGAATTTTAATTGATGTTAAATTGTTGTGTTTAACAAATAAATTGAAAAAATGATTAATTTTAATTTAATTACTACCTAATCGTAATATTTTAACAACTTTTTTCACATTATTAAGCTGTGATTATTATCATTATAAAAAATATTAAGGTCATTAATTTTTTAATTTTTAAAAAATATTATTTAGAAATATTAATTAATTAATTTTAATTTAGTAATCAATAAATATTAATTATTTTATTAATTAATGTTATAATTATAAATTATTTTTATTAATTACATTAAATAAAATTAACATTTTTAAAAATGATACTTTGTAATTTTTATATAACATTTACAATTTAAGTAGTGACCATAACCTGCCTCGCCTTCTAGCCTTTGGAACTGACTCTGTTTATTAGTCGAAGAGTCATCCAACTGGACTCTGGACCAACTCCACGCAGATTGGGAATCACGTGCTTTATTGTTCTAATAAAAATTCAGAATATACTCCTTCGTTAATACTAGGACAACTGTTTGGTTATGACGACAACGAGCGGAAAAGGCCAGAACTCAGAAGAGTTGGACCACACATGGACCGCACGCACTATAAATATTACTAATTCACAGCTAATACTTGTCCTCCTGTTTGTTTTTTTTTTTTCCGTTTTTTTTACACTGCAAGAAATATGGTTAGTAAATTAATATTTGTTTAAAAATCAATCAAAAAATTAATTTAATGATCATGTGTTACGTTTATACTTTTCACATGAAAAAATGTAACCACTTGAACCACACAAAAAACTGCTTCTTCTTTTTTTTCTTTCTTTTAATACAACACTTTTTTCGTTAACTGGAAATAAGGACTATTTTTTTGAAAAAAAAATATTTTAAAAGATGAATTGCATATTACAATAGAATTTAGATATTAAAATTATTATGTTATTTTTATATTATTTTATTAATAATAATTTAATAATTTTAATATATAGTTTAATTTATAAAACATGATTTTTTTTAAAGGAAAAAGAGGAAATATTATCGATTAAGGCAAACCGTTGTTACAAATTTCTATAGCTAGGGTGCCAAACCAAACACTATCCCACGGTATATAAGGAGGGAACCATTTGTGCTATTCCAATTTCTATGAGATAAGACATTAAATTCTCTTCTTAAAACAAAAAATTGACATTATCTAAAAGCTTTAAAAATTACTTTTCAATTGACATATTTAACAATTACATTACATAAAATAAGGTTTTGATAGAGCTTGCATAACATGCAATTTTCTGTTTAATTTAAATTATCTCTATTGCTAATAACACAGTTTGTGTCCTTATTTCAAAATTATCAAAGTTCATATCCTTAATTCTGAATTTGCTAAACCACTTATCTATTGACATGTAACTAGGGGGGTAAGGAGAAGCAAAACAAAATTTTTACTAGATGCTTGTGCTCGGATGTGCTGTTAAATTTCAGATAGACAAATCTTAAGCTAAGCAACCATAGTAAGCAGCTCCTACCTACAGTGCATGAATGGTACACACAGAAGGATTGCCAATGGAGATTTGTTTATCTAATTACCAGCCATAGATAGGATTTTCTACTTGCGGAGGTGAGAGACGAAGATCTTTGCAGTGTTGCTTGTCGTAATCCCTTGTCCCAGGTATAGCACCAGTACAAAGTCTTAGGAACTCATTCCCTGTGAAGCAATAGTGGGCAAATGCTAACCCCCTATCAACCATCTCTGAAACGTTTGGCATAGAAACCGATTCTGCGACCACCTTTCCATTATGTTTCTTCAATTCTGAGACATTACTTTCATTATTCAAGATATGGTCAAGTTCTGAATATTCCATAAATCTCTGGGTGGCAGCTTCCCATGAAAGGTTATATCTTTGCTCAGGAGTAAGAGGCTGAGGTTCATTTTCCAATGCTTCCTTCACCTTGGCAACAAAGTCTTCAGATGACTTGTAGGTTAGACAGTTAGGAAATGACCTGAAGAAATCATTAGATGGGTGATCTGCACACACTACAAATTTTCCCATGGCAAGAGCCTCTGCAGTTGCAGTGCAGAGCACATCACTCACACTAGGATTTATGAAGACTTTGTACCTTCAAGCAAACAAGAAACCAATTAGATGGAAAGAGAGAAACTGGCATACAGGTAGCATTATGCTGATGCAACAATTAATATTATAGAAGCTAGAAGATTTGAATTTTATTTTACTTTCTCCTCAAAGAAAATCACTTAGGCAGAAAATAAAGGATAAAGATCTAAACATATTTCTTAAATGATTCAGTGGTTTATAAAAGATTCAAATCAGTTTCATCTTTCATCAAATAGTCAGATGAAATCAATCCATCAAAAGGTGGATTCACAGGGATCCTTACCCATGGAGAGAATCATCTGCATGGTCTCTTCCTCTTAGAAAATTAAGATTCAAGTCCAACCTCTTAGCAGCAGTCTGGACTTCATGTGCATCCTCACCATTTCCAAATACATCCAGCTTGAAATCATTTAGATCATTCTTGTGCCTCGCTAGCAAGTCTATCAACTCTCTATACCCCTTTGCCCAGACCATCTTGCCCAAAAAGTAAGCTCCTTTAGAGAAGGCTTGATTCCCAAGTTCCCTTTCTGCAGCAACTTTCTCCCCAATTTTCAAGAACTTTGGATTCACACCATGGACATTGCAAATGACAGACTTGGGAAGATCTTGAGTTGCAGCAGAAAGGCGAAGAACCTAGATATAGAAAAACAAACAACTTAGCTCATGAAAGGTTTAATGAAAACACCTTCAGACAAATAAGATTTTCAAAAACAGATCAACAACAGATTTCAAACAAAATGTTTCAGAAGGTACAGAATCATACAACAAATTTGATACATACCTTGTGACAATATGCTCTAGTGACCCAATTATTTATGTGCTTTACAAGAAAAGCTTGAAGTGCCCCATTCTTTTCCCTTTTGATATATTCCAAATAGTTTGTGTGCACAATACCAACAACATGGTTAAATTTATCAGTCCATCGTTTACCATGGTGATACCAGTTTAGGTGTTCTGGCTCTTCCAGAATGGCAATGTCAGCATCCTTTGAGGGAATAAATTGAGAAGTATCTCCAGCGGGAATTATGCTCCGCCTTTCTTTCGAAAACTGAAGACAGAGTGAGACTAGGATTGTCATTTATTTAGCATAGTTAATGATCATAAGGACAGTACGAAAGTGTTATAGGGATACCTTTCCAGGATAAAATGAAATCCTAAAATCAGACTTAAAACCAATCCTTTCCTCAAGCCAGTTACGTATATAACTTTCCTGCTCCTCTGGTGAACTGAAAGTGACCTTGTTGGGATATACAAGTTCTTGGTCAGATTTGCAAAGCCATGGAACCAAGAGAGTAACTTTTTGTTTTTCAGACTTTGCTAAGTATGCTGCTCGAAAAAGTGGGTTTACAGCAGTTCCTGTCATCCATGGAAGGCTTGCAGTTGTAACAATGGCAACATGCCTTTTCTTGTCTGATTTAGGCTCATGCTTTGTGAAGTCTGTCCAAAAGCCACCCTCATAAGTATGCCCTGTGCTTTGAAGGACACTGGCTATCCTTAAATCCAGCTCATCAATGACCTTGTCATCTTCAATAATGGGGGGTTCTCCAGCAGACAGGGATCGCATTACAAGTTGATTCTTCCGTTTGCTACACAAGTTCTCCACTATTTTGTCGCAAATTTCTGAGAAGACATGTAAAACATATTAAGATCACATTTAACACACTAGTAAGACTTACAAGCACATGGACAGAACAAAGAGTGCACTTGAGCATGCAAAGGAATCATGTATCTATTCACATTGAAACATCATCTGATAGAACCAAACACCAGTTTAAGCCAGTCAGGGGAAGATTTTACAGAATATTTCATAAATTTCAATTGACAGAAAATATTAAATAAGATATAAATGACAATGGATATAAAACTGAGAAGAGCACAGATAAAAATTCTTCAAAATGCAGAGGCTAAAAGATTAGTATAAGACTGGATTTCAAGCAGTATGGAATCTTACTGGCAGAATAGACAAGCTAATCATGTCTCTAGAGGCATTTAGAATTAGAAGATTAAGAGAGAATACAGCGATTTACCTCTCCTAAAACCAAGTTGATCTAAAAAAGGTCCAGACTGCCTAACCAAATGTGCTAAAAGTTCAGGTACATCCAGTGGTGGTACATCCTGTATCAAGAAGAAAAGAAAGCATTCAGTACAGTTATTTTATTTTACCAAACCTATCAAATATTCAAACCATTTCAACATCTAAATGACACTCATCAAAATCCACTGCCACATTCAAATTCTTATTTACAAGACACAAAGAGTGAAATAGGGAGATTCTAATGGCCTGGTTTTGGTCAGGGTTGATGCTTTATTGAGTCTTCTACAAAATTAGTGGCAAGCATTGATTATCTCCATTGAATTTCAGATTAAGCCTATGGTACTGCAGTTGAGGCAGGAATAATCTTGTCTTTCTTTTGGCCAATGGGAATAATCTTATGTCTATTAAGGCAAAATAAGCCTAACCAGGAGGCTCAGCATCTCATGCTTCCATCATTGACCATGCAAAACCAAATTTAATCATTGTTGTCAGGTTGTTTAGTCTAGAAGCAAATGGTTTCCAACCACTTTATCTACCACAATAGCAAACTTCCCATACAGAGAACAATAAATGTTCGAGTAAAAGTTTAAGAGACCTTTGTCTGAAAATGTATTAAAAATGTGACCATCTGATAGAGCTAAACATTCTTATCTTATTTTTATTTATTTATTTATTTTTCTTGGTATAGAGAGTCGCATATGACATAAAAAGAAAGAGAAACTCCATAGCTTAAAACAAACCTTTGTCTCCTCAGGCTCCTTGCAGATAGCTTTCTGCAAAAAGAAATTAAACATAATAATTATTACAACTTCAAATATCTTGAGAGCGCTACAGGAAAAATTTAACGAGCTAGAATGTTAAATCCAACTAGATACCAGTATGTACTGTGTACAACAAAGCATCTAGGAACAGGTTAGGAGATGGCTAATTCAGGTACACCTTGGCAAACTAAGATGACTTGGCTTAAACAGCTCTAAAATTTTTTTCCATAAGGAACCAAAAGGCAATAAAAGTGCTAGATAGAAAAGATATTTCTAGAAGCAAATGTTTGGTCAAAAATATGCCTGACTTTAATAAACCTGACTGAACCCTGACCTCTAATCCAATGGACTGGAGTTAGGGAGAGCAAAATAATGACTCCAAACAATATGAACATTCTCTTCAAGAATAAAACCATTACAAATATTGGACATGGCACAGCCTGGCTGGTCCAATTCCTACTCAAAGCAACACTTAGTTAACTAACTAATGGCAGGAAATATTGGTCATCTAAATAGAAAAACCCAACCTATTTGACCAGTAAAGAAAAGCATTAAGCGCGCCAAAAGCAGATTAAGCATCCAACCCACAACACCAAATACTACCAAATATTAACGGATGTTCAGTTTGACAGCAAGAATTGCAAAAGCGTTTATTCTTGTTACAGGGGGTTCTGGGGCTTTATAAAAGACTTTAGTCATTTTTAGCTAATGGTTTTAACTCGTTTCACACATTCCTGGAAGAAAATGCATGATTATGTAGCACTGTCACAATGTGTAAATGAGAAAATATGCAAACAAACCTTCCACCGAGAGAATGATTCTTCCAAACCCCACCTGAATCCCAATTTCGATATAAGATGCAAATGTCCCAAGTCTAAAACATAAGATGAACCTGGAAGAGTATCTAACAGTTTGGAGAACTCATCAACTCCAGCATCCAAAAAATATAATATGCTCATATCCTAACTTTAAAGCTTTAGAACCTAGAAGAATATCTAACGTTTCTGAAATCTTAACAACTTCAGTGTCCTTTCAAGCTTCTAATGGTATCAGTTACACTCATCTCAATGAAATTCACCAAACCCATTAAATTTGAGCAAATAAGGGAATTCTGAAACTTAGAAGGTCCCAGGAACCATTGATATATATTGGGTAAGGGTAACGGTGCCCAATGTCAAAATCCACACATGAAATAGCTACTATGAACTCAGAATCCAATCAACACCTTAATTAATCTAAACGAGTTTCAAACATTGCTAAACAAAGGAATCAGTTATCTCCCATCGGTCCAGTGGACAAATAATAACATTCAGGAAAGATAATTACACCTCGAAATCAAACTTAACCCATCAAAATCATTTCAATTGCACTCATTTTCCAGCAACCACATGGTACCAAAATCACATAAATAAACACACGAATATGTAAAGGGAAAAATGGAAGAAAACTTACCAAACTGGACTTAACCTTTTCAACAAACTCGCTATTCTTAATACCACTGAAAATCTCCACGGAAGAAATCGAGTTCCTTTTCTCGAACTCCCTCAACCTCGTCTTCAACCCTCGAAATGGCTCCCAATCCCCAAACTGCTCCTCCTCCTCCTCCGTAAACATCAGCCTCCTCCCTTTCCTAAACCTATCAAACCTAATAATCCCATCCCCATCAATATCCCTCTCGTCCACCTCCGCCACTATCGCATTCCTAATCGCAGACAAGTCTATCCCTATCTTCGCTCTGGTAGGCCGCCACTTCTCCATCACCTTCCTCCTTATCTCAGGCGCGGAACATACCCTCCGAAATTCCGACAACTTCGGTTGCAACTCCAATATTTTAGGCTGCAGTTTCTTCATGAAATCCATTTCCGACGACGACCGAATCGCCGGAACCGCAAAAGTCGGAGCGGAGTTTATTAGGTACTCAAGCTCCCTGTCGAAAGAAGCCGCGAGGTTATTGGCTCTGTCTCTCATGAGTTGCAGATCGGCGTCCGCCGAGTCCCGGACCTCCCTCCATCCTTTAGATATGAAGGAGAAAGCGTCCGAAGTCGATGTAGTAGGCTGGCTACCGCCGTTCATGGCGGGAAAATTTAGATTTTCTTACAGAATTCCGGAGAGTTGATCTCCCTAAGTCCCTACCAGATGCGCAGAGGAGAATCGAGAAATGTCGACAGAAGGAACGGAAATGACGGCTGAGAGAATTTGACGGTTGGGATTTCCGGTTGGGTTTGGTGAATTATTCTGGGAGTGAGCGGTACACCTGGGAGACACGTAGGACTGGTGGGACAGACAGACCAGAATTGGTCTGATGACGTGGAATAAGTCAAGTGATTGGGTGACGTGGCGATTCGTGATTCGGTGGCGACGATGTTCTAGAGGAAAGAATATGCCTTGGCGGAGGAGTCCATGTCCTCTTCGGGATTCCATTTCCGCGTGAGGATGGAATGGACTTGGTGATTGACGTCGTGATGTTGGGCACGTGGCAAATTCTAGTGCGCTAGATGCGTTTCCTTCCCATAACTGAAATAAGAAATTCCATGTAATAACAATAATAATTTAGGACTTTACTACGGTATCACAATCTATTTGTACAATATTATTTTTATACAATAAAATTTTTAAATATTATTAAATTCATAAGATTAGTACTTATTAATTTTAATTTTAAAAAAAGAAGTCTCAACTTATATTTAAAATTTAAAATTTAAATTCAAAATTTAGATACTCATCTTATTAAATATTAATTTTTAGA